CATATGGCGACCAATGTCGCACGCTTCCAGCACCAGGTATGTCTCGCGCTACACTCACAACCTCGTTCCCCAACTCACAGATGCCACTAGCACCAAAGGACCACCCTGCGCCTCACCCAGCTTACAGCAGCGCAGCTCGGCTATGGCTGTGTGCTCCTTCCCTGCTCGCCCGTGAGAGCGTAGGCGCCAGCCAGCAAATAGCGCAGCAGCAGCGCTTGCGCAGCATGCAGCCAGCACCCGAATGCCGAATGAGGAGGCAGGCCCTTTCCTATATCGAAGTGGCCTGCCTGCGTCCAATCCCAGGAAGACGAGAGCAGGCCTTGGGCCTGAAGTGGTTGCATGTGCCCAACTGCCTTCGGCCTGTGTTTGGCCCGGTACCCATATCCAGCCCAGGGCCTGCTTCACATACATTCACAGAGGCGGCCCAGGGCCTGGGTTCACTCAACCAACTGGCGCTGCACAACTGCCTGAATTTCCCTGAGTTGCGTGGTGGCCAGAAAAGGGCCCTGAGGGCCTCATCGAGCCTGCCTTCACTTAGGGTGGCCGACGGGCTGCAAAATGGGGCCTTATGGGGCTCATAGAGGCACTGGCCTCGCATTCCCTCCTCCTTAGCTTCAACAGTCCTCTGAGAAGCTCAATCTTCGATCATAGGGCGCTTTCCCTTTTGCAGGGTTACAACTTGAGGAGCGGTCTGCATGAGCTCTTCCCTGGTGAACCAGCGATCCTCCTTTGGATCAGTGTGATGCCGGAACCGAACGCGGTACTGCAGCTTCGGTTTCAGAGGACGTCCCCTGCTTGCTGGTCTTGATATCGGCAGCTCTCTGTGATCCACAATATCATCGATGTCCACCTCTCCATTCATGGTTGGGGGCAGCATTGAGCGACGAGATGGAAACTGATCAGTATCTTTGAAAGGTGCCAGCTTGGAGGCGTGAAAGACAGGGTAAGTACGGAGATGACCAGGGATCCGGATAACATAAGATGGACCATCCGGATCTGTCCCGATGATATCCAAGACTTCCCAGGGTCCAAAGTACTGGGGCATGAGTTTGCGGGAGATCCCGTGCTCCTGTCCCGGTTCTGACGACTTAACCCAGACCCTATCCCCAACCTGAAATGTAGAAGGCCGACGGTGTCTATTTTCAGACTCTATCATTGCAGCCTGAGCCTTCTGCATCTGTTCTACAGCCTGCTGCATCTTCTGTTCATAGCGGTAAGCAAATTCCAAGGTACCTGGTGCAGCAGTGGTTTGATTCTCAGGAAGAAGAAAGTCTAGGGGCAGTCTAGGCTTGAATGTTAGCAGTAAGCTGTTTGGGCTCACCCCGGTGGCGCTGTGTACAGCGTTGTTGTACAAGCTGGCGATGAGAGCAAGCTTCTCATCCCAGTCCACCTGGTTGGGCTTGATGTAATGCCTCAACAGGTGTTGTACAACGCGGTTCAGTTGCTCAGCCTGACCGTTGGCCTCTGGGTGATTCCTTGAAGTCATCTGCAACTGAGTTCCCTGCTCTGCAGCAGCAGCCTTCCACAACTCGCTGGTGAACCGGACATCCCTGTCACTAATAATAGACTTGGGTAAACCAAAGTCCCTGACCCAGTTCTCTTTAAACATTCTAATCACATACTCCGTTCTGGCTGTTTCCGGCATTGCCACTAACCTAGCATACTTGCTAAATCTATCCACGATGACGAAGATGTGTCACATCCCACTCTTGCTGGTGATCAGAGTATCCATGAAGTCCATGGACAGACTCTCACCAGGCTGTTCCGGAATCGGAAGGGGCTTCAGGAGCCCAAGAGGAGCCTGAGTACGGGGCTTGTCTCTTTGACATACCTGACAAGTCTCCACGTACAGTTGGGCGTCTCGCATCATCGTGGGCCACCAGAATCGCTGCAGCAGATTGGCTGCGGTCTTCTTGTACCCAAAATGGCCGGTGGCATCATGGCACTCACCTAAAAACAAACTACGCAAAGACTCGCTACTTGGGACACACAATCGTTTATTCCTGTCCTTCTCAAGGAACAACAAGCCATTGACCAACTCAAACTCAGCAGAGGTCTTCTTGTCCTTTGCCTGGAGTCTGCGTATGATCTCGGACATAAACTGGTCCTCGCGATAGGCTTCCACCAAGGACTGATTAACATGGTCCGTCAGATTAAACTCAGTAATCAGCGCACCTGAGAAATCAGGTCTACGCGACAAGGCATCCCCAACCTTGTTGTACTCCCCTTTCAGATACTGAGGGTCAAAGTCATACTGTTCAACGACTTCGATCCAACGCTTGAGGGCGTCAGAAAGTACAGGTTGGGTTCTCATCCATCTCAGGGTCTGATGATCAGTCCTGAGGATGAAAAATCTCCCAAGGTGATAGTGTCTCCAATGGGTTAGAGCCTTGTAAACCGCATAGAGTTCCTTCTCATCCGTAGTGGGTGCCTGTCCATGCCCTATCTTAGCCTCAAGGTCTAGGGCCACCTTGCTGAACGAAGGGAAGTTGTGCATATTGATATTGGCTTCTTTTGCCAACTGGTTTCTGAGAGGCTGAGAAAAGCATCTCAAGTACGAAGTCAGCAGGACCTAGGGGTCATAGCGCACCCCTGGGACACAGATCAGACGCTCAACAACGTCGGTGGCTTCCCTTACTGACTTAAACTGCCTCGTGTGCAGTGTCAGGATCGCATCAGTGGCCCTTTGAGCGTCCTGAGGATCGTGCCACCTCTCCGCCACCATCTTCAGGAAGTCATCCAGTTTCTGGGTGGCTGCGCAAGCGCGGAAGTCATGACCATATCCCTGGAGCTGCACTAAACCGCTTAACCATCTTGCTGCACTACCCTCTAGGTAAGATGCAGCCACAAGCACTTCTTCGTGCGGCAAGGTAAGTTTGCACCTAACATAGACTGGCACTGACCTCAACCATGTGTCGAGGTCTTCGCCTCTCTTGTCCCCTGTAAAAGGTTTGGGAGAGGCGATGGCCGTCTTTGGTACCCACTGAGTTTGTCCTGGTCCCTGCGCCACTCCGGGTGGTGGACCCGGTGACACAGGTTGCTATGATAGCTGCTGGGGCTGCGTGCCTACACAGACTGCGAGACAGCAGGCTGCGTGGTGACTGCAACCTGCGACGGAGTTTGGGTGTACACTGTCTGAACAGGAACCTGCAAACTACTCCCTGCTGTTACCCCTACTGACAACGGCATGCCCAGGGAAACGATAGCAACCGATGACGGGGCTATATATGGGGATACCCCTGTCATCGGTGGGACAAAAAAAGGAGGATATGACACGGGCCAGGCACCAGGCCCGGCAGGTGATGGTGCTGTCTGAGCACGACCTGCCAAAATGGCTAGGCTCTGTTGGATATCTTGAAGGATGGTAGTTTGATGCTCCTGTCTATTACGCCTAGCAGGGCCCTCCTAACTACCCTCACATCATCATCCATGTTCGTCAGGTCCTTCGTTTCTAACTCCTCTATGTCTGCCCCTCTCCGTTGCATCCTGGCTCTTCTTCTGATCATCTTCTCCTTCTCCGCTTTTATCTCTCCTAACGCCCGTTGTAGTCGTGCCTCCTGCAGGGCTGCCTGCTGGATGGCGACATCCTCTGGAGTCAACACTGCTGCCTGGCTTGCCATAACGCCAGTGGACTGACTCACGGTCTGCGCGACCGTTGACCCGACGACACCTGAACTGCTGGCTTGGGAAGTCTGCTGCGCAGAAGTGACCATGGCGGAAGTGGTCATGGCTGCTGTAGCACCGGCCTCGCTAGCTAAAGCCCTGCTGGCCTCGGCTGCTCTAGCTCACCTCTGCTGCTGCTGTTTGTCCCTAAGCTGGCGGAACAGAATCCTATCACCCTCCGGTCCTAGGGACACGTGGGCTATCGGGCGTCTAGCTGATTGCAAGATCCGGTTGTCCAAGTGTGTGTCCTCCTTGTCTCTCATAGGCTACAACGTTGTGTACCGTCTACACTAGGACACTCTAGGTGCCTACCGCAACATAATGCTCAGACCAACTAATTAGTTGGTGGCTATTTTGGAACAGATATCACTTGAGGTCAACAGGTAAGTCAGATTCCCACAACTGAAATTATTTTTAGTCTGACTAGTCCGCAAACAGAAGCACCAGGAACAATAAACAGTTCTAACTAATGTTGTATGTCAGATGTCAATGGCAGTGCATCTAACTAATCAAAAACATAAAAATGGAATCATTTATGTGGATAGGACAGCATGGAATTTTCTCGAACTTATCACCTGGAATCAACCCCTCCCTCAGTTCCCCTGAGTATCACTTGACGTCAGCGTCCCTGAGCAATCTGGAGAGCGTTGCGTGTCTAAAGGTGTGTGTCCGGCCCACCCCTGTGCCCCGAGTATCTATTGAGCTGGCCAGCCTTGCACGTATATTTATCCTCGGCGTGCCGCGAGCCTTATATCAGTGGCTGATCCAGAGGCATTGTAACGTCCCCCCCCAAGTGACATCAGGAATTATTTTACGTCGCAGCAGGACGACGATCACAGCCAGTGATATCCCCTTTCCGTGTTTATTTATAGACGTCGGGTGCTCGTCTTTCCTGTAGGGCTGGCCTGCCCAATAGTACCCATCTAACAGCGCAGCGAGCCGAACAAAGGACAAGCAGCAAGGCATGCGTGCTCTACTCCTTGTGGGTTGGCATGGTGACCGTGACCCAGTGCTTCGTCCAGGGCCCTTTAGAAAGCTCCGCCCATCTCCACCCAGATGCTCCACGTGAACATTGCCGACTCTCAAGGTTGAGCGCACTCGACACCTCACGATGAGAGGACTCTCAAGAAGGAACACACAACCTCACGGTAAGAAGTGTCGAAGAGGGTAGATAAGGTTAAGAGCAACGTACCTCAAACAGCTGCCCCCAACCACAGAGATAATCTCACCAGATGACCAAATAGCGATTGCGATGACCAGTCACTGCATCGGCACAACCAGCATTATCTCGCCGTTCCACCTTAGCATCAATCGCACATTAGATAGTTCTCATCACACTGTCCAGACCACATTTCACCTCACGTAGCCTTCCTGGTGATCCCCTCACCTCCTAGGTCGCCTTCACACTCTTCTCCACCCTCCTCACTACACACCACTTACGGCCAAACTCGCCCAGCAGACCGCATGTATGTACCGCATAAGGCAGAAGACAAGCGCCAAATGAGCGCAAACGTACCACAGCTCCGATACCAAATTGCAAGGAAGATGAGCAATAGCGAACTTCAGCAATCAAACAACATCATACATATGAGTCCAGATAGTCTTGACCTCAAACCAACAACAAAATTGCATCACGAGATTCACCAAATAAGAACACACCGAGAGTTCATAATTGACAATGCTGAAATAGTCCCATCATCATCAACGAAGAACCAGAGTTGATATCCTATCTGGCGCTCGGCTCCCAGACTACATGTGGCAGATCCTATCTAGCCTATACTATGAAGCCGAAAGATGACGTCAACAGCATTCCCGAAGTACGAGCATATGGCGACCAATGTCGCACGCTTCCAGCACCAGGTATGTCTCGCGCTACACTCACAACCTCGTTCCCCAACTCACAGATGCCACTAGCACCCAAGGACCACACTTCACCTCACCCAGCTTACAGCAGCGCAGCTCGACTATGGCTGCGTGCTCCTTCCCTGCTTGCCCGTGAGAGCGTAGGCGCCAGCCAACAAATAGCGCAGCAGCAGCACTTGCACAGCATGCAGCCAGCACCCGAATGTCGAATGAGGAGGCAGGCCCTTTCCTATATCGGAGTGGCCTGCCTGCGTCCAATCCCAAGAAGCTTCCAGTAGGCCCCGGTAGCCTGAGGCCCAGCACGACGAGAGCAGGCCTTGGGCCTGAAGCGGTTGCATGTGCCCAACTGCCTTCGGCCTGTGTTTGGGCCGGTACCCGTATCCAGCCCAGGGCGTGCTTCACATACATTCACACAGGCGGCCCAGGGCCTGGGTTCACTCAACCAACTGGGGCTGCGCAACTGCCTGAATTTCCCTGAGTTGCGTGGTGGCCAGAAAAGGGCCCTGAGGGCCTCGTCGAGCCTACCTTTACTTAGGGCGGCCGACGGGCTGCAAAATGGGGCCTTATGGGGCTCATAGAGGCACTGGCCTCGCACATATATATATCCTGTCTAAGTAGTGACCGATCGTTTCTCTTCTGGTGCATGGTGTCAGAATGGCAACACTGATAGAGGTCGTCCATTCGTCCATTAGGGCGCCTGCATAGAGGGGCCAAAGATTCGTTCATTACCGTCTTTGCCTGATGTTGTATACAAATATATAACGCTCGGCGGGTGTTATAAATTATGATCATGTACAATGTCGGGCCAGTGTGCTTAGTAATTGGCAGCAGCTCCGGTGAGCCCCCCCCCAAAAAAAAAAAGAAATGAAGTGAAAAATAATGTTAGAAAAAAATGTTGTGTAGTATATAATTTGGAACACCAACCAAATTATTATTTATCAAGATTGTATATTGAATCGAGTTCTTCGGACCGGAGTTGTGACCTTACTCTACAAGAAAGGAGATAGAAAGAGCATAAAAAATTACAGACCCATATCCCTCCTCAATGTCTCTTTCAAAATCTTGGCTAAACTCCTAGCCACAAGAATCAACCACATCACCGGCAACTGCTTCCATCTAGACCAAACGGGATTCATTCCGGGCAGGCTCATACTAGACAACGTTATGACCCTCTGTGAGTCCACCCGGCTAATCACTCAGGCACGCAGCCGCTCCCGTCACGCTGGCGCCTCCAGCTCATCCTCTCCGCCCTCTCCCGGGCACGCAGCCGCTCCTATCACGCTGGCTCGTCGCCCCCCGAGGTCCCTGAGCAGGACCTCCCTCAGGGCTTTGTCCCTCTTTGCGGTGTCCTTTCCACTTAGGAGCGCGCGACAATTTTGGGCCGGCATGGGTTTTTGCACTGCCACCAGGACGGTCATACCTCCTCACGGTGCCCTTACACCGCCGCCCTCGACCACCACTACGCTGACCTTTCCCGCCAGCATCGTGCTCAGTCCCCCCCCGGCGCCTCACATCCGCGCGGCGCCTCCTAGCCACGGTGAAGTATACACCTACGTCCCTGTCGCTACTGGAGTTGAGGTATCGCAGGACCCGACAGAGTGTACTCCGCCCGCTGTCGCAGTACCGTCTGCGCCTCCGGAGACCACCGTCTCCCCTCCTACCCCTCTGCGACTACCGACGCGTCGAGCCATTCGCTCAGCCCGTTGCAGCGAGCAGCTCGCTACTCGCGAGGACGTTGTGTCCTCTCTTCTGGACTTGAGCATGCTCCAGGCTCGTCAGGAGCGACTCACCCTCCATGTGGCTGCATTGCGTTGCCTTCTCACCATCCTCTCTGACACTGATCGCACCCTCCCAATCATCCTCGTACGGCTGGGGACCTCCATGAGGGTGTACTCAGTGTTGTGGGATTCCGGTTCTCAAGGCGACTTCATTCACCCACGTGTGGTGAAAAAAGCCCGGTTACCCACGACAAGGTCTCCGATTCCGATCTCTGTCACCCTAGGGGATGAGAAGACCCAGCGCTTCTTCGATCAGACGGTCACCGACCTGCCTTTCTTCCTCACTCTCGAGCTGACTGATCGTCCGCCGGCGTCTCGTCGCCATCGCTCCTCTGCACATTTCCATGTGATGGAGACGGGGTACAACTTCATTCTCGGTACTCCGTGGTCTCGTCGGTTCCGCAGCACAGAGGCCGATTGGGCGACCAACACTCTCGTTCTCAAAACGAAGGACAAATGTATCGCGTACCTTTCATAGGTACCTCTGCGACACCACGCCCTGACCCTCCTCCCTCGGAGCCTTCCGTGCCCACACCATCTCCTACTATCACCGTCACCTGGCCTCGACAGTTCGCTCACTTCATCCGACAGGACGACGTCACCTTCTTTACGGTGAACGTTACGAATCTCTTTCACTATTATCCACCCTGTCCCGACGCCGAGCTCATCTCTCTAGAGCCAGATCCTCCTCCTATCTTCATGGCTCCCATCTGTACTTCCCTCCCTCCGCCGTCCGTCGAGTCCACCCCGCCGTCGTGCGCTGACACTGACGCTGAGGAACTCGCATGCTATACGGTTGACCTGAAGCCCGCAGTTTGTGACCTCATTCAAGAGAACCACAACGTTTTCCCATCGTCGTTCTTGTATGCCGGCATCCCACCGATGCTCGACGTCGAGCACTCTATCCAGCTGGTGCCTGACTACCGTGTTCACCACCAGACACCCTACAAACTCTCGATCCCAGAGGCCACCGAACTCGAGCGTCAACTTGAGGAGCTCCTGAGACTGGGTTTCATTAAACCCAACAACTCCCCGTGGGGTGCACCAATCCTCTTTGCTCGCAAAGTAGATGGAACTCTCCGTCTCTGCATTGACTATCGCAGCCTCAACCATTAGGCGGTTAAGAACAACTACCCCATGCCTCGTTCCGACGAGCTGTTCGACCGCCTAGCAGACAACCGCTTCTTTACGAAGATTGATCTTCGTAGCAGTTACCATCAGATCCGCGTCGCTGCAGCGGACCAGCGGAAGACAACGTTCTGATCGCGCTTCATCCACTACGAGTTTACGGTGATGCCACTCGGTCTCACCAACGCACCCGCAACCTTCCAGAGGGCGATGAACGACATCTTTAGGGACATCTTGGAGCAGTACGTTCTCGTCCACCTCGACGATATCCTGGTCTACAGTCGTACCCTTGAGGAGCATCTCAAACACCTCTGCGACAACCTTGACCGCTTGCACAGACATGGCTTCTACGCCAAGTTGAGCAAGTGCCACTTTGCCCAACACAAAGTGGATTTCTTAGGACACTACGTGTCTAACCAGGGTCTCCACATGGACGACGCGAAGATCACTGAACCCGTGTCTTCGCCGTGAAAAAGCGATGTCCTATACCCCTAGACGAAAGGGACGAATGAATGTGTTTGTACCTCA